CATGTGAGGTCCAACTCAGCAGGAAACTTTGTTAATACATCTCTTGAAATTTGAAAATCGCATGAAAATGAAAGAAAACGGATGCATCTCCTCAAGATGCAAGAGGAAAGCAGAAAAGAAGTGGAGGAGACCCCGGCCATTTTCTCCAAAGCGCATCACCCTGAAGCAGTGCTCCATTGTCTACTACGAGCACAGCCTAAGGATAACGGATACAGCTGACAGCGTCTGAACAAATGTAAGCGAACCACTGACACCACTGTGACACCACTGCCAGCATGGAGGACAGCAACAAGTGCACCTCCCCGTGGCCTGAGCCCATCCCCTGACGCCACGTGTGCTGTTCACGTGTCGCTGCACGTGAGCCACTGGCTCGTCAGTCACGTGCGCGCTGACACGACTGACAGGGCCGGACAGGGCCCGGTCCGCACGGCGGTGTCAGCTGACAGCCGGTCAACCTGTAAGTTACTCTCCGGGGACTGCCACCGACTGGATTGGGTGGAAAAGTTCCACTCCACCCAATCGGTGGGAAGATGGGCTACTGCCGGAAACCGTGTAAAGTATCAGACGAAATATACTGCGCTTTCGAGCAGCGACGTAATCCGCCGAATGATATTTTCGACGGACTACCACAGGGAACAGATTTGTCCATACCAAATGCAATTTGATTAACCTCACCAGCTTCTCGCGCAAGACATGCTCAAAATGCCCTGTGGAAGATAACTGCGACATTCATTGCTTCAGTGCGCAGCTTGGTGGTCTTCAATATGAGCGCATGTTTGCTCGGTGTATGATCATATGTTATTGACGCTGAGGCAGAAATCAACAAGCCAACCAGATGGCGGGTATGTCCCCGGGTGAGCTCACTAGTTCGTCACGCATTCACAAACAAAAGACGGTGGTATCCCCATACTGTCCAAATGTGGCCCGTGTACATTGTACACTGAACATCGTACCCTATGCCCGGAAAACGGGGAAGACCTTACTGTAATTACACATTGGTAAACGGCCGCAAACAAATAACCATGAGAGCAATTCAAGATGTATATCTTACAAGCTAGAAATTCCTGTCATCGCAAAAGCAGGAAATTTAAAAACAAGTTTTAATTAAACCAAACAAATGTTTTCAGACATACTTGATCTTAGCAGCAGGGAGCTGACAGAGATAATTTTTATTGTGATTTGGTTTAGTATGTGCGGTAATTACATCTGAAAAATGCGCCACTTTCCCATTACGTTCCCAATGTTCGGTCGCATGTCATCTCTTCCCTACCAGTCATGACCCATCAGCCGCTCCTCCCGCAGCCCCCGCCCCCTCCGTCCATTCATTCACACAGACCGGACCAATACAAAGGCGCCGCTCTGAATCACGTCCCCGTCCGGTGACGTCAGCGGTGACGTCACCCATACACACGTGTAACTACGTCAGTCGGCGGCGGCGCGGGTGGGAGGGCCGCGACGCAGTTTTTGTGACTGGTTTTGCGGGGAGGTAAAAAGACGGTTGCAAAAACAGGGCGAGACCAAAAACCATGGTGCATGTTTGTTATGGCCGTGTGAGACTCGCTCATATCGTCCTGATGTCTGCCCTTTCATTGAGAGACCAAGGCGCTCGCCACCTTCACGATAATAGGGCTGGATGATCCGCGAGCTTTGCATTGATCCTAGCAACGATTCGCGTCTCTCTCCAGCCAAATTCCATGTCTTCAGTCTGCAGAATGCGGCACTACAAGCCACCCACCATTTTCCCTCCCTATCAGCCACAACACTGCCTCTCAGCTTGTAATATACCAGTCGGCGGCTCCTGTGGGGTGCGACTGGACGGACAGTGGACATAACCCACTCTGCCCACTCAGAGGAAGGCCGGTCTCAGCCCCGGCGTCATACGGCAAGCTCCAACCGGCTTTGAAAGCATGGAGCTGGAGAATGTGAATTTGAAAACATGGATCATGGAGCTTGTTCCGATTTGCACAATAATGTTTCTGAATCGTCTTATTAGAACAAACTTTGAAGGACAAACCTAAGACCAACCTTTCTAAAATCCTTCATACTTCATAGAACACATGTAACTGAATGACACTTTCACGTATCACGTTTCACGAATGTCCGTATCGAATGTTAATCTTCCCACTAAAAGCTCGTCTAGAAGTTAGTGTCCACTACCACGGCGAGTCTAACCTCCCCATTAGTGGCGTCATTTTCCAAAAAATGGCTGACCGATACCGACCGAAACCAAAATTTGGGAAAAATTTCCGACCGAATACCGACCGATAACATCCCAAGCCAAAATTTGACCGAATTTTGACCGAAATTCTATTTGCTATTACTCTACCCCAAAATTAAAAAAGTGGTAAATTCTGATAGAAAATAATGGGAAATGGCATTTCAGTCCAAATTCAATCAATTCTTAGCCACTGCAAAATACATTTTGTGGTAGAAGTTACATTGCTAAGGGTAGGAACACATGGACTTCAGCATTTCACATATTTGGTTAATTAGAATTGTCAAGAATCTACTGTGGTCTATGTAAGGAAGAATACTCATTCATGTTGCAAAGGCACGATCAATTAGTAAGTCTAATGGTTGGTAATAGGCATGTTCATGACAACATTCCCTAGGAGAAAAGGCAGAATCAAAACACCACAAAAGACATCAACACTGCTTGGAAACTGGCCTTGAGTCTTGAGATGTGGTCTGAGATACTCTACAAAGAATTTGACACTGAAAATCCAGCTGAAAAGGCAGGTATTAGGTAGCTCTGAGCCTGAACTTCGTCCCAAAAAAAATGAAATGAAAATTCATTAAACTGGCACTGTCTTATCTTTAAAAGAAAACACAATATGCAGACAAAATTAATACAAAGTGGCGCAAAATAATAGAAGAACCAAGGATTGACTTTTAAGATCCTCTCTTCCCTAACGAAAGGATGTAATATGATGACGTAATATTTATTTATATGCCCTTTTGGTTGAATTATTGAAGGGAAATTAATTTTCTTTTCTTGAATTACACTCACAATGTTGATTTCATTAGAATTCAATATCGTGTTGGATCATTTACATCAATAAAATCATTCACGAGGCAGCATGTAACAATGCAAAACCTTTTTTGCAGCAACTTAATCAGCTGGTTTTAAGTCTCTGTTATGGCGCATCTGTTTCGAAATCCTTGATAACCTTGTGATGTGGAAGATTCCAGAAAGCGGACATGGCCGAATCTGTAGTTTTTATCAATATTCCTATGTTTTTATGTTGTGGTGGACGGTGGTCATCTAGATTTTAAACATTTGGTTGGTACCTGCAATATTTAAGGAGAATGTGGAATAGTAGAACACCTGTGAAATGTAAATGTGATCACTGCTAAGTGCTAAGTGCTAACTGTCCAGTCTTCAGAAATACATTTCAGTAACTTAAGTTCTTCTTGTCCTTAATTTTTGATTACTGTATAATGATTTTTGTAGGCAATACTTCTTTGATTACAGGTGATATTTTCAGTTAGACTGGAATAGAGTTGTGTGTACTTGTGGGGCCAACTGAGTCAACATCAGCCCGCTTGTAGTTGTGGTTAGACAATGGGTGGCTGCTGCATGCTGGGTAGGATGGCTACTCAAGGCCATATATAGTTGGCTACTGAAGTTGCCAAAATGTGGCATCTCTTGTAGCCTTTCAGTTGGGGAAACTACGAGGAGCCAAACAAAAATTGGATTAGCCAATCAGCGGCTGGAGTGGGCGGGGCGATGACCATATATGGTCATAAAATCAGACAACTTCATCTTTTCAATGAATTTTAGCATTCAAATGAAAAAATAAGGCATAAGAATGTTTTTTAACCACACAAGACCTACACTCACCCCGTGCATAATTAACCGGCGGCTCTAAATCGCAGAGTTACAACGCAAGGTCAAACCGTGATTGGCAAATATGGCGGATTGAAACAGACGCGCCAAGAAATGTAAGCAGTACCGTGGTTTAAAAATGTCATTATTTTTATTATTTTGTTTATGGTTTTTCTAATTGTAGTTAAGTTATTAATTTAGAATTAAATATTTTTGTTTATTGTAAATAAATTAAATCTTTTAACAATTTTATTTCATAAAACCAATCCATTTATTGAATGGCCAGCTGATTGTGACGCCCAGAACCTGCAGAAAAGCCGTTTTCCTATCGACATTTTCGAGTCAATCCGCCGAATTTAATCGAATCACACTAATTCCTAGTGAAAAATGGAAGCCTTTTCTCTCGAATAAGTGGACGCGATACCGCAAGTACCGGCTTGTCGTACCGTTTTTCACCCTTAGTAGCGGGGGCTGCATTTATGCCCATATATGGTCATCAAAAGTCCATTTATTGACCAATCCATTTTTTGACATTCGCCTCGTAGTTTCCCCAACTGCTTTGGGGGAAATTTTGCAACTTGTTATCATTAACATCCCAATAAATTTCATTTTAACTAGGCAAAAATGGAATACTTTCTCTTATTGAAAATGGTTTCACTGGCAGGGTGACCGAAAGTGTCCGATTTTTGGGGGGCCTGACCGACCGATTACCGAATCGGTCAGCATCTCTTTTCGGTAACCGAAATTTTCGGTAACCGATTGACACCACTACTCCCCATGCTCTAGCATACGTCGGCGAAAGCCCGAGCAGGTGGCATCCACCGCGTGAGATGTGATGTCTGTACGAGCTGCTACTACCAGTTAGTTGTTAGTACCTCACTAATGCATGTCAACCAAGCTACTCAGCTAACTGGAAGTCAGTAGCCACTACCAAAATCAGCCCCCTCAAACGTCCCAGTCTGCTCACCAGGGTGGCAAACCCAAACCCACTCCAACCAAGCTTCGCCAGACCACTAGCAGTCAAACCCGAACTGCCCAGGCAGCATTTCAGCCCGTTCGAACCACCCGCTACCGCTCTACGCCCCGCGCGCTGGTAGCCCGTGTCTGCGGGTACCAGTGTCACCAGAGGCGTCCCCTCATGCTCCGAGGTATCACACACGATATAACGTACCGGAGCTGGGTCTCTGCCCTGGCGGTTTGGCGGAGTCTCGAACTGGGAAACAGCGGGTGCAGATGAAACGGGTACTACGGGACACAGAGAGCCCTAGCCAATGCTGAGTGACGAACTATGTTTTATGTTTTTAACAGGAGATTCATGAAAGATGCATTAGCACTCTCATTTACCTGCCTCTCATCACTACCATTTCTTTTTCTTACTAGTGCCTGCATTTGAACTGACTGTTAATCATAAAAAGCAAAGAAATTCATCCATTTCCACATTGGGTAACCTATTTAGAACAGCAAATACAAACGAGTCCAAACCAAACTGTCAGCACATCCGACCTGCCCTCCCATCAACTGTCTCTCGGTGTCCCGACCTCTCTCCCCTCCCGCTCCCCTCCCCTCTCACCTCCTCGACGGTCTGCTGTTCGAGGTCGACCAGCGGTTTCACGGGAACGGGCTGTCGCGAGTAGTAGTAGGTGGCGGCGGCGGCCACGGCGGTGAGCGCCACCGCGCCGCCCGCGCCACCTATCGGCTCCAGGTACTGGTCCATCGCAGACACTGCGGGAACAGAGACACGGGGTCAGCGCCGCCAGCGCCACCTATCGGCTCCAGGTACTGGTCCATCGCAGACACTGCGGGAACAGAGACATTAGGAGAGTTAGCGCCTATCGGCTCCAGGTACTGGTCCATCGAAGACACTGCGGGAACGGGGGGGGGAGAGAGTTAGAGGGTACTGGTCCATCGCAGACACTGCGGGAACAGAGATACGGGGTCAGTTGAGAGACAGTGCAGGCATGGAAAGACGGGGAGGGTTACCACAGAGACACTGGGGGAACACAGGAGAGTTAGCGCCTATCGACTCCAGGTATAGTGGTCCATCGCAGACACTAGGGAACACAGGGCCACAGGGGGAGAATTAGCGCCTATCATCGCAGACACTGAGGACAGAGGGGGAGAGTTAACGCCTGGCTATCGGCCCCGGGTACTGGTCCATCGGAGGGGAAACAGGGTCAGCTGAGAGAGACTGCAGCAAAGAGAGACAAGGCAGGGTCAGCTGAGAGGCCAGAGAGACGGGGAGGGTTAGCTGACAGACACTATGCTTTAGAGAGACGGTGGAGGTTAGCTCATCGACACTTGGAGCGCCTGGAGACTCTGAGGAGGGTGATCTGCCTGACACTGCGGACGACAAGACACGGAGAAAAACGCTGTGAACACCCAGAGAGATAAGACTTATTCACATTTCGTCCGGGTAGCTGATGAGGGGAACGACAGATGTGGGTCAGCTGAGGGAAGGGGAAAGGATCTGATTTCTGACAAGGTAGGTGCCGAGTGACCACTAACGGGGAGAGATGCGACCTTACCCTAACCCCGCTGCAGCTACTCGAGGACAGTACCGCCCACCCCGACGACACCGTACACAGATACGTTACCTCCGGGCGCACACGGCTCGATACCGCGCGCCCATTGGCCGCTGATGACGTCACCGGTCAGTCTGTCGTACGGCCGGCGGTCGGTGCCATGGCGAGGGCAGGAATACGACATCGACACGGGGCGAAAAGGAACGACTGGAATAGGACACCGACACGGGGCGAAAAGGAAGGACTGGAATAGGACATCAACACGGGGTGGAACGGCAGGGCCGCGGATGGCACCGTTGACAGCACGCTATTGATTACACTGCACTTTCCTGCACTAACGATACACTATGCTACACCACACTGCGTTACGACGGCCCACACTGCATTTCACTCACATTTGCATGCTATTTAAGCAATTTGTAAAAAGGAATCAGCAAACACCACAACACACCAACGAATACCAAACAATGCATCCACAAACACTACACCAGCAAACATCGCAACAAACACAACAACAAACACCAAAAAACACAAGAGCACACAAGCAAACAAACACGACATCAAACATAGCACCCAGTACCCCCGAATCCACCAGCAGTCGGCACAGCTGCTGCACGCTGTGCCCACAGGCACGTTCACGGTCCGTTCGCTCGTATCACCCCGGTGCTACCACCACCCAAACGTGATAGCACAGCGCGCCGGGTCAGCCCTGGGCGCTATCGGAGCCGGATCTCGACACCTACTCGGCTCCACAGCATAACGTGAATGGACTTAGCAGGAGGCCGACAAACTCGAAATGCATGTTGGGAGTGAGGGTGGGGCGTTCAGACACCGCTGTGGGTACAGCTGTATTGTGTTTGGGTTCCACTGTTCTTGCTTGACACCTTCCCAGTAAACTGTACACGAATGTGTGGTTGGATGAAAGGCTGCTTTGCAAACGTGTTCCACAGGGAAACTGGTTCGGTTTTCAACAATCAAAGGTCCGATTGTCAATTACGACTCCGCCCTCACACTCGCATATTGGGGAGAAAGCCGAGAGTAGTGGGACTAGACCCCCAAAGCTGTGATTGTGACCCAAAGTATCGTCACCAGTGGGACTGTGACTCACGGCGGTTAAAGTATCGTCACCAGTGGGACTGTGACCCACAGCGGTTAAAGTATCGTCACCAGTGGGACTGTGACTCACGGCGGTTTAAGTATCGGCACCAGCTGGTGATTAGCGCACCTTGTTTGGAGCAGAGCTCAGTGCACAGTGCATAGTTAACGTGTAATTATCGTGTAAGGGTTGAGCTTAATCATAGCTTCCATGCAAGACGGCGGGGTGAACGGCCTCAACCGCGGCACGTAAGGGAAAGCTGCCAATCGAGGGGCGGGTGAGAGTGCAATGGGCGGTGGGCGGTGGCGGTGGGCGGTAGACAGGCGGCGGGCGGTGAGGACAGGGCGGTGGGGCGGCGGGCGGTGGAGACAGGGCGGTAGACGGTGGGCAATGGGCGGTGGACGGTGGGCGGTGGCGGTGGCGGTGGGCGGTGGGCGGTGGGCGGTGGGTGGTGGGTGGTGGTTGGGGGCAGGCGGTGGGCGGTGGGGACAGGGCAGTGGGCGGTGGGCGGTGGGCGGTAGGCAGTGGGCGGTGGGACGGTAGACGGTGAGCCGTAGACGGTGGGCTGTGGACTGTGGGCGGTGGGCGGTGAGGCCGACAGTGTGCAGTTCGCAGTAACGAAAAGGGTCAGGCGGTAGGCAGTCGCGGCGAACGACCCTGAAGTTTCTGTCTTTATACCTCCCCCCCCCCCATGACCTCTGTCAGCCCGTTCGTTCCAGTGGGTAGGTCTGCTCCATCCTCTGACTTATCATCGACACACGTGAGCTATCATAACGACCACGGCGGCACGAACCGTGACAAGACGGGAGCTACTTCAAAAGACGGGGGTGGCCCTATCGACAGCTATCGGCCAAAGTGCTGGCATGTAAAAACGGAGAAAGGAGGCTTCGGTTGCGTTGATGTTTGCATGAGACATAGCACGCCCAATTTGACGGAAAACGCTAGCATATCCACTATCCAGGTGCCAAATAGCACACTGCAGTCAATAGCACACAAGAAAAGGAATGGATGCAAACATTGGCGGTAGATTGCAGATTGCAGTCGAGGTCACAAAAGGTCACAGGGCCATGAGCAATTAGCAAACAATGTTTGAACATCAAAGTCAAGGAAGAAACTGAAGTAGAAGATTGAGGTTTAGGTAAACAAAATCACTATGGGTCTGGTCTCTGACGACATTCAACGACACATTAAATTCGCCGAAGATAGCTGAATATTACAATGGATGATATTGACGGCTTTATAAAATGCCGATTAGCAACTGGTAAAACATACCACTACTTATGCTAGTCGGGGCATCACGAATAACATTAGTGTCTGCTTATAGTCGGTATTGACTCATCTTCGGCAATACCTAAGCTTTTCCACAAAGATCACTCATGGGCCAGCAGCTAGAACACAAACGACCTATCGAGCTATTATAAATGAATGAAAATGTTCGCCGGTCTACAATCACGCCTCGGCCCAGAGAAACTTTTCTCATACCGAGCTTCAAGGACCCACCAATCTGCCCTGTTCTGACCGCTCACCCAGGTATCTGTCGAGCCGCTGACTCCTTCCTACCAGTTCCGTCATCAAACCCCTGCTCCTCCGTCTACTCCAACCCGCTCGACGGCCGACGCACGACTGAACGGTGCGGAGTCCGGAACACCACGGCGGTACGGACCACGGCACCTGAGCGGCGCCTGTTCCGGCTGCGTGACGGGGCAGTGACTCGGTAACAGACCCCCCCCCCCCCCGACACACACAGCCCCCCCCCCCCGGCGCACAGTGGGCGTTTCAGGGGTTCTAGCCTCTCACAACCTTTCAACCCTTATAGCCTTGGATCTAGGAGACCTACGCCTACGAATTACACACCAAACTGTAGCAAATTCATTAAAGAACGTGAATGCATGACGTTTCCCATGTTATAAGCTTTCGCAATGTGCAGGAACTGCATGAAATGTTGCATAAACGTGGCAAAACGGAGCACTTCCATTCCCCCTTGCGGTTTGGCCCCTGATGGAGCTAGAGCTTTGCGGAAAAAACGAGCTTGCTTCCCGTGATGAGACGAAGCCGATGATACCCAATTTTAAGGTCCTAGGTCATTGGTTGACCTTCCAGGTCAGGTCAATTACCCAAAATTCGGGAAAATCGGAACCTGTTAAAACATCGTAAAGTGAGGTTGCTTTGGGGCTTTTCGGGGTGCTGATCACGAATTTCATGCTAGTTTTGATCACAGATGATTTCTTCATGCATTTAGGCCAGGTCGGGTCAGGTCAGGTCAGGTCAACCAGTATGCGCCCTGCCGGGTATTCATAGTAGGTGTCAACCGCTACTGACAGCCTCGTAACATGATAAGAAGGCACCAAAACTACTTCGTAAATGCTCAAATGGTCGCTAAATTCGAAATCAGCTCCAAAAACTAGCCTAGAAACATGTAAAACTCGAAAAAGTGAACCGAGGTCACCAAAGGTCAATGACCTGACCTGACCTTCAGGTGACCTTGACACCCAGCATAATGCATGGAACCAACATCATTTCACATGGTTGAACGTTTGAAACCACAAAAAGACTGCAACCGCGCGGATAATGTGAGCCGACACGCCGAATCGCGATTCCGGCCAAACATGGTCTCGAGAAATAGGTCACAGGTCAAAGGTGATTTGGGTCAGGGTCATGAAATTTTTAGTGTAGGTGTAAAATTGATTAACCCGAATGTACTGAAAGTTTCGTCTTGATCGGCCACTTTTTACGCGAGTTATTCGCGAAAAAAACGAGGGTGGTCCGTTCGACCCCTTATAAGTCCGAGGGTTAAGGTTTTGAGTCGTTGACCTCGAGTCAAAGTCTGGTAAGAGTCCCTCAGGTCACGAACTTGGTCAGAGGAGGTCGACTGTCTAACTTACTTTGTTCCGGAGGTATTGACGGAAAACTAATATGGCCCTTGTGACGTCATAAATGACGTCATGCAAGGTTAGCAATGCAAAGGTGTAGCACCGTACCTTGCAGGGAGCGCATGAAACCATGATTCCATGTGCTTGAGATAGTTTTAGATCATTCCTGGCGCTAAAATAACAGTTTCCATATTTCCCTCATTGACTTATAACGGTGAGATCACGTGACCGACC